CAGCAGCCTGAATTTCAAGTGCGTAAATGTCAAAATCTTCATCTCGGAGAGAAGTAAGATTATCGTCGAATTTGATTAGAGCATCAGCAGCTCGAATGAAGAAATCTAGTGGAGTAAGCGACATTGTAGGAAAATTATATATGAAACTCTCAACTTCAAACTATAGAAAATATCAAAAATTGTGGAAACTTGAATAAAACTTGAAAAAAGTCATACCTTCACGAAATTCTATATTAGAATACTAAATCTCAACTTCCAAACAAAAAGTTTAGAATAAAACCAATGAGAAAATACGAAAATATTTTCAAAAAATTCGAAATATTGTTGAGATCTTATAAAAAATACCAAATTGCTATCTTATTGTTTCGAAAAATACAATAAAAACTCAAAAAATCTGCAAAAAATAATCAACCGTATTTTTCACAGTGTATGAAAAAATCACAAAATTTTTCTATGTGTACTAAATTTCGTTAAGTGTATTGAATAATACACTAAATTAATCAAAAATGTTGACCGAATGTAGGGTGCATGGACTGTAAAATGCACTTCGAGGTCCAACAACAACAAATTTTCCCAGAAAATATTAAGTAGAACAAATTATATTCAAATGATATATTGTAATATGTAGGCAATAAGAAAATGTTGAAAATTTTATTTTCCGTTATATGTAGGGTGCACCGTAGGTCGACCTTATCAATTGATTTTCAAACTGTTCAAAAATTTGTACCATAAATCGCGAAAAAATACAATAAAAAAATTTTTATTTTAATTTACCAAACTTTTTCACCGGCCTTCGTATGTTGACTTACTAACCGGCCCTAATTTTTCAATGTCACTTAACCTATTATTATTAATAAATACGGCGGAAAATAAGTCCCGGAAAGTTGGCCACGAAAGAAAATCGCCATTGAAAACATCGATGTCACAGGGAGGTAAATTCATGGAATGCGAACTATTTTCATTAATGATGCCAGAAACGTCAGCTGCTGCTTCAGCTGGAAAAGAAATTTGAGAAATAGACAGAATATCATTTACACCCTGGCGAGGAGAACTTGCCATATTTGGCACATTAGGAACAGTAGATGTCTTCGGTTGAGGACGTATTTCATCTATCTTTCTTCTATTCAAGGCAAGGCTATGAATATTGGCTCTAAGAACAGCCTGGGTTTTCATTTCTGCTGATGTGTAGTCATTTGCATCACCCTCGTCACGAGTTTGCAAATGAGTAAGGCATTTATCAAACATTTCTTTCGTTTTGGACTACATTTCTTTAACTTCAGCAGCCTGAATTTCAAGTGCGTAAATGTCAAAATCTTCATCTCGGAGAGAAGTAAGATTAGCGTCGAATTTGATTAGAGCATCAGCAGCTCGAATGAAGAAATCTAGTGGAGTAAGCGACATTGTAGGAAAATTATATATGAAACTCTCAACTTCAAACTATAGAAAATATCAAAAATTGTGGAAACTTGAATAAAACTTGAAAAAAGTCATAAACTTCACGAAATTCTATATTAGAATACTAAATCTCAACTTCCAAACAAAAAGTTTAGAATAAAACCAATGAGAAAATACGAAAATATTTTCCAAAAATTCGAAATATTGTTGAGATCTTATAAAAAATACCAAATTGCTATCTTATTGTTTCGAAAAATACAATAAAAACTCAAAAAATAATCAACCTTATTTTTCACAGTGTATGAAAAAATCACAAAATTTTTCTATGTGTACTAAATTTCGTTAAGTGTATTGAATAATACACTAAATTAATCAAAAATGTTGACCGAATGTAGGGTGCATGGACTGTAAAATGCACTTCGAGGTCCAACAACAACAAATTTTCCCAGAAAATATTAAGTAGAACAAATTATATTCAAATGATATATTGTAATATGTAGGCAATAAGAAAATGTTGAAAATTTTATTTTCCGTTATATGTAGGGTGCACCGTAGGTCGACCTTATCAATTGATTTTCAAACTGTTCAAAAATTTGTACCATAAATCGCGAAAAAATACAATAAAAAATTTTTATTTTAATTTACCAAACTTTTTCACCGGCCTTCGTATGTTGACTTACTAACCGGCCCTCGAAATTACGATATAAATGTGCGAGCGTGTGTGTGAATAATCGTTCAACGATAAACAGCCAAGCAATGATAGTTGTTGTTACAACCACTCAACAGTTGGTGACTAGGAAATTTGTTAGTGTTTTTATTCCTTCTTTTCTCTATTCTTTTTAAACTTTGGACTGTTGGAATTTGGATAAAAACACTAACAACAATAGGAATATTATTTTAAACGAAATTATGAAACGAACAACTATCACTGGTTCACTGCACTTTTTGTTTTCTTTATTTGTTGCAGTATTCTCGTTAAATGAGAATATGCAGTGTAGTTATTCTTAAAGAGAATAACAATGACAACAACGCGTGACGGTGTTGTAAGACGGACGTCTGTAATTTATGGAATATAACTTTTTGTAAACAAAGAAAAACACTCGCGTATGTTCACTAATATTGACGGTACTCACCTTAAACAATATTATGAGATATTAGTAATTGATGGATGGATGTTTGATGTTTTCTTCTTGATGTGATGCTGATGGAGTCAGTGCGCCTTTGAAAACAAATGCAAAAAATGCCAATTATTTCTTCTTCTTTGTTGTTGAGGACACCAATTCGATTCGGCTCGAATGGACCAATGTTTGCTGAGGCAATAAAAAAGAAATGAAACCAAAAGAAAATAAAACAAAAGAATTTTAGTTTTTTCAAATAATAAATAAATTAAATCCTTTATTAAATATTGTTCGGATAAACAATATTTTACCTTAATAATGTTCACGAATATGAACGGTGGTGGACGAAAATCCAAAGAAAAAGATGTGATGTGGACGAATATCCAAAAACAAGTGATCGCTTGTTGTTGCAAAGTAGCGCTCTTTTTTGTTTACTAGTTAGAATTTGACATCAGTCACTTTGTGCGAAAACACAAAGTTGTATTTTTGCTATTGATGTGCAAATTCTAACGGCAGGAAATTTTGAAGTTAATTTTAAATATTGGAAAATAATTCTTAATTAAACACTATGCAAAATTTTAGCACACTATCTCAATTCTATCAGAAGATAGCGTTATTACAACAGACGGGCGGATATGGCTAGATCGTCTTAGAATTTTACCCTGATCGAGAATATATATACTTTATAGGGTCGAAAATTAATATTTCCATACTATGGTGGAGGAAAAGGAGGTTGTATGGGGACTACTCCAAAAAGTGGGCGAATATTAATAATTTTTGGTAGGGAGATTTGCTACCGTATACTACCTCAAATTCGTTTGAAAAACTTGCTCAAAAGCTCCAAAATACCGAGAAGTAGTGGGGACCCTTATATGGGAGCTATGCCTAAACATGGACCGATATATCCCATCTTCGAACTTGACAAAAGACAACCCTATGCAAAATTTCAGCACCCTATCTCAATTCCTTCAGAAGATGGCGTGATTACAACAGACGGACGGACATGGCTAGATCGTCTTAGAATTTTACCCTGATCAATAGTATATATAAATAATATCGAAAATAATATAATATATCGAAAATGAATATTTCGATGAGTTACAAACGGAATGACAAAATTAATATACCCTCCATACTATGGTGGAGGGTATAAAAATCAAATGTTTGGTCAATTTATGTGCTTTTCAACATAGAAAAAGAGGGCAAAAATTTGTACAGTATCAATTTGTGTATACCATCTAAATTATTTAAAACGCTTCGTATTTTATTTTCCAGAAGGAATATGCAAGGATGTAGCAATGTCAAAATTTTTTCATATCCTAAATATGTATACATGAAATAATTCTATAATAATGGAAAAAAATTCGTGGCTCCAAGGGTTAAAAATTTCAAATACTCTTAAATAATAATAGACTAGACAGTAATATTGACAAGAGCATAATAAATACTGTAAGATACAAAATAAGACATATTTACCTTGACACGACATGTGTCCAATTAAATTCCAACATTTTTCTTTTAGCGTATTTATTATTATCTGTGTAAATAGCTACAACCAAATGTTCAAATAGTGTATTAATTATTATTTAAGCAGGAAACAAAACGCAATTGTAAATTTAATATATTATTTGCATCAAAATGAATAAATGTTAAAAGTGTATTCAATTGTTAGCTTGTATTAACAGTTTTAACCGTTTAAAGTGTTCTTATAGTGTATTAATTATTATTTAAACGAGCAACAAAATGCAATTTCACATTTGATATATTATTTGTGTCATAGGTAATAAATGTTAAGAGTGTCTTCAATGTTAACTTGTGTTAACAGTTTTAAGGCAACCATGTCCGCTTGATTTGATTGTTTTTCTAACAATATACAGGGTGCTTCAAAAAATTTATACACACTTTGAACTTCCATAGAAAATTGAAAGCTGAAAGTCCAATGTAAATGCCACATTAATAACAAATGTTAATACTGTTCATATTGGTGGCCGGCAGCATCAATACAATTCTGAGTGCGAGTCAGCACTGATTCTGTACATCGTATCAAAACGACCAATGAGATTTCTCTACACACTGCTTGAATCTCATTTCAAAGAATGTCTAGGTTACGTCGTTTACGTTTGTACACCTCATCTTTTACTGTGCCCCACAAAAAGAAATCCAGTGGTGTAAGGTCTTGAGAGCGTCCTATTCACTGTTCCCTATATTGATATTACAAATTCCAACTGATAATATAACATAGAGGGACCATTATGCTGGCACCTGGTGAAGAAATATAACATTAATCTTGTAGAGCGGGAAAACTACAATAGTGTGTGTACTTTTTTGAAGCACCCTGTATTTTAAGTAATAATACAACCAAAACAATTCGAAGGAAATGCTATTCAGCGTAGTAGTTTATATAGTTTGAATGTTTACTCCTCATGATGTGGCGGTGAAGATAAGTAGTAAGGCACAAAAATATTATTGTTAAAAAAATCAGATGTCTTAAAAACTATATATAAATAATGCGTACTTGTAAACATTATTTGTGTATTTATTATAACTACCTAACGCAACTAGAGTTCCCAAACCTAATCCATATGAGAAAAATATTTGCGTGACAGCGTCAATCCAAACCTGCAAACGAGAATTATAGTATGTCTGTTTTTAATATACATAAAGTATTTTTAATTGTTATTGTACCTGGGACTCTGTCAGTTTTGAAAAGTTAGGAATAATGTAAAATTTAATCCCATCTAATGCTCCAGGTAAAGTAACGCCTCGAACTAGAAGTATGCTTAATAGTACATAGGGAAACAACGCGGTAAAATATACAACTTTTCCAGTCCATTTAACTCCTTTCCATATACAGAAGTAACATAATATCCACACTAGGAGTAGCGTCCCTGCAAGCTCCCAACGGATAGCACCTAAGTCATCTATCCCCGATGAAATATTCAATGTTCGGCGTCTAAATAATATGATATATAATAAAATTGAGGTAAATAATATTTAGTTTTATTTGTACATACTCCCAAAATTCTTTTACGGGGTCCGCAATATCTGACATTGAAACATTGACTTCATTAATGGAGCATACTTTGGAATTATAATTGATATCGTTTGTTTCCCAACACTTAATTTGTTTTCTAGCATATGGATTTACGCATTTATATGTATTCCAAGTGTTATTGCAATTACGCCATGGCACATCGGTCCGCATCGACATAACCAAGTAGAAAGCGGCCCACGCTAAAATTACTATGTAATACACATTCATCCAACATGACATAACGGCAGCAGCATATCCTATGCCTTTGAAAATAGGGGTTATCTTAAAAACTCCTAATCCTCCAATAGTTAACATTTGTCCTAAAGCTAACTCCATGAAAAACATTGGAATTCCAGCTAAGAACAGTGCAACTAAATATGGTATTAGAAAGGCACCGCCACCATTTTTGTAACACAAATATGGAAAACGCCACACATTCCCTAAGCCGATGGCCAATCCAACGACGGACAAAATGAAATCTAGTTTCGAAGACCAAGAACCACGATCGGGATTTGTGACAACCTTAAATTATATGTTGCCAGATTAATTAAGAATTTAAAGAAAAACCCCGCTGATCAAAGAAACTGGCTTCAATACCTAGATTACAATATAAAGGGACTATAAACAACGTACCCAATTAATGTTACTGCTTCGTTTTTTATGTTGTTATTATTACGACTTCAACAGCATACATGTATTGTATTGTATCCAACACAATGCATGTTTCAAGAAAAAAATTATGACAATATTATCGATTTATGGCCAATATAGATATCAACTTTTTCTTTATGTATACAAATGCATAAATAACGTAGGATTGCACACTATAGATTTCGTACAAATCAAATTTCGTTCAATATTCGGAACAATGCCCAGCTTCGTGTTGCTTTATGTTACACAGAAACCACTTTAGCGTATACAACATTCTGGAAGTCTACAATATAATAATTTGCCACAAAATGTTAAAGTTGTTCCACAAAATAAGGATCCCAGAATCGATTATAATCCTTCAAAAATGTATCCGACGTCATTATTGTTTAAAAATGTATCCAAAACTATTTACCTGTACGGATTTATAAAATGCAACTAGTAGCATTCATATACAAGTCTGTAAATAACATTGGTCATCACATTATAAGCTTTTCGCAAAATCAAACACATTTTAATACGCGAAATAGCTCTAACATTTATATTAAAAGATGCATTTAAAAACAACAAAACAGCGCCTGTTCTAAAGTGCCCAAAGGCCGTTTTGGCTACTATATTATAAATTGTATTTTTTTCTTGAAATAACTAATATTAATAAAAAATATGACCCACCCTCCGAGAGTTCACAATACCAAACGACAGACCATTCGAATAAAAAATGTGCCAATACTTCAAAAAACCGAATATTGGATTATACCGCATATGAGGCTATGATAAAAATTAATCCCACGAGAACACTGCAAACTTGTTTGGAAAGTGTACCAAATTGTTATGGTTGACTTTTATTGCTATTCATTTAAATGTTTTGTTTAGAAATACAAATTTGCCTTATACATATAAACATATTGACAGTCATAAGACGAAAGCAGGATCTCATGTAATATCACTCAAAGTTAAACAATTTTTCACTAAACCTTTTTAAACTAATAATTTTCTTGTTTATGCCAAAGCGACTAATATGGAATACCATTTTTTCTACAATTTTTAGTATGTAGATGTGGTATACAATGAGAATCCAAATTGTAGCCAATTTGGCTGAAAAACGTATCCCAAATACTATAGGATGCCGTTATATGATGGCTACCCTAAAAATATGTCAATAATAATAATAATAATTTTTTGTACGAATATGTGTTATACAATGAGAACCCAATATACCAAATTAAGTCAATTCTGTTAAAAAAGTGTCCAAAATAGGCACTTAAGCGATATAGTGTCACTCAGTTTGACCGTTGTTCAAATGTATCTTCATCACTGAGGAATGAAATGGTAAAATATTTACTTGAAATGAATCACTCTTTCTTTTGAGAATATGTATAGAATCACTTTCTGTCCGTCCGTCAGTCCATGTCTGATTTGGCCATATTTGTCCGCTTCAATATTAAAACTTCGGATGCTTTCTTTTTTGTCAACGTCACAGATAGCCTGTTTGGAACTGTGACGTTTCCAGTGCTAATAGAAATTGACAAAAAATGAAAACAAACAAAACAACAACATACATTGCATTTGCATGTGTGTTTCTGTTTTGCATCTAATGCATCCCGCTATGTAACAATGACTTTTAAAGCCCATGTGTTGGGTTGTCTAGCCATGATTTTGAATGTCGTAAATCGGCGGTTCTGCTGCATGAATGATAGCAATCCAAGTCGTTATAATGTTGAGTGCCTAATCTTAGGCATGCTTGCAAGTGGCCTTACAGTCTTCCACGAAACTTCTTTGTCAGCTACAACAAACCCCAGAGCAGTTGGAACAAAGCCCAGGTTCCATGTAAATGGTGCAACAAAAGTTGGTGCTGGGTGTAATGGATTTTCCAACTGCTGAGCCCCATAGAGTTTGGTATCTACTGGGGATAGAACACTCCTTGCCAGGCAGTTTCGGCAGTACCCTCTTCTTTCCGCCGTCTCATGCCGTTGATGTAAGGATTGCTCTCGAAACCTCTGGCATGTATTTATAACATGATCATCTTGGCAGAGCCCGCAGGAATATTGCTAGAAATTAGGCCGCCCTCTTCTGCTTCTGGATTGTTGCCAAATCCTCGGTGGATGCTGCTGCTCGTCGCGCCTGTTGTTGTGGGATCCCAGTCCCGGTTTGGTAGATAGGCAGCCATATCAATTGTGAGAGCATACCCAATTTATATGTAGTGACTTGAAGAATTTACTCGGTTTGAACGAACTTTTTAACGACAAATTTGGTAGTACGAACATGTTCGCACTGCATAGTTTGCTAATTCTTTCTCGATCTTTATTAAGTATTAAGTTCAAACAAGTGAAAAAGCGTTAAGTTCGGCCGGCCGAACGTTGGGTACCCTCCACCATAGATATACTGACAGGTACTTGAAATGAAAATATAGGGAACATACCAACAAATTGACCTATAACGACATTTCTACAATCCGATTATGTAAACAATAATTTTTAATACAAAATTATACCCTCAGCCTTATGGCTAATTAGTGTGTATACACTTGCACACGGTGAAACTGTGCCTCATCGAAATATTGGTTCTAGACCCCATGTTTCTTGGGACCAAATCCGTTTCAGAAAAATTTGATTTCATCGCATCTTATTATGTCTTCCAATCTTAGTTCATGTCCGAATTTGGGGAATATCGGTCCATGCCTTCTGGTACCTCCTACACAGGGGCTACGGCTAAGCATAAATGCGGGCTGTAGTTCACATATAGTACATTATCCAACCGTACGTTCTAGGTTTTTATCTCCATATCCTTCGCAGGTGAAATGATTACAACGGAGTGTTAGAACCAAACTCAAAACGCGGAAAAATCTGAAAATTATAGTAATGTAAAAAAATGGGGTTATATGAAGACTACGCCTAAAAGGGGTTGACTATTAATAATTTTTGGTAGGGAGATTTGTTTCCATATACGGCTACAAAATACCAAATTTCAGTGATTTCGGTTGAAAACGCGCTCAAGAACCTCCAAATGCCTAAATTAGGGGGTACCTTTATATGGGGGCTACCAGAAAAAAATGGACTTATATTTATCATTTTTAATGGAGATATTTGGTACCCAATAAGAACCCAATATACCAAATTTCAGCGAATTCGGTTGAAAAACGCGCTCAAGAACCTCAAAATACCGAAATATGTGGGTACCCTTATGTGAGAGCTACCAGAAAAAAATGGACTTATATTTATAATTTTTAGTGAAGATATTTGGTACCCAATAATAACCCAATGTACCAAATTTCAGTGAATTCGGTTGAAAAACGCGCTCAAGAACCCCAAAATACCGAAAATTGGGGGTACCCCTATATGGGGGGCTACCAGAAAAAATTGACCTACATTCATAATTTTTTGTGGAGTGATTGGGAACCTATTTAAAACTCACAGTACTAAATGACAGCCAATTTTGTGGAAAAATACGACCAAAACCCCCAAAATACTGAAAATTAGGATGTACAGTTATATGGGGGCTACCAAAAAAAGTGGGCATATATTTATAATTTTTTGTGGCGACATTTAGTACCCCAGAACCCAACCCAATGTACCAAATTTCAGCGAATTCGGTTGAAAAACGCTCTCAAGAACACCAAAATACCGAAAATTTGGGAGTACCCTTGTATGTGAGCTATGCATAAACGTGGACCGATATATCCCATCTTCGAACGTGACCTGCCTGCAGACAAAAAACAACCCTATGCAAAATTTCAGCACCCTATCTAAATTCCTCCATACTATGGTGGAGGGTATAAAAATCAGATGTATCCAAAACTATACATAAAAAATAATGTGTACTTGTAAACATTATTTTTCTAATTATTATAACTACCTAACGCAACCAGAGTTTCCACATCCAAACCTGCAAACGAGAATTATTGTATGTCTCTTTTTAATATACATAAAGTATTTTTAATTGTTACTGTTAATATTCCTGGGACTCTGCCAATTTAGAAAAGTTAGGAATAATGTAAAATTTAATCCCATCTAATACTCCAGGTAAAGTAACGCCTCGAACTAGAAGTATGCTTAATAGTACATATGGAAACAACATGGTAAATATAATTTTTTTTAGTCCATTTAACTCCTTTCCATATGCAAAAGTAACATAATACCCATACTAGGAGTAGCGTCCGTGCAAGCTCCCAACTGATAGAACTTAAGTCATTTATCCCCGACGAAATATTCAATGTTCGGCGTCTAAATCAATTGAGATAAATAATTTTCAGTTTTATTTGTATATACTTCCAAAAAATTTTACTGTTTCCGCAATACCTGACATTGATACATTGACTTCACGGAGCATACTTTGGAATTATAATTGATATCGTTTGTTTCCCAACAATTAATTTGTTTTCTAGCATATGGATTTACGCATTTATATGTATTCCAAGTGTTATTGCAATTACGCCATGGCACATCGGTCCGTATCGACATAACCAAGTAGAATTCGGCCCACACTAAAATTACTATGTAATACACATTCATCCAACATGACATAACGGCAGCAGCATATCCTATGCCTTGGAAAATAGGGGTTATCTTAAAAACTCCTAATCCTCCGATAGTTAACATTTGTCCTAAAGCTAACTTCATGAAAAACATTGGAATTCCAGCTAAGAACAGTGCAACTTAACACGGTATTAGAAAGGCACCGCCACCATTTTTGTTACACAAATAGGGAAAGCGCCACACATTCCCTAAGCCGATGACCAATCCAACGACGGACAAAATGAAATCTAGTTTCGAAGACCAAGAACCACGATCGGGATTTGTGACTACCTTAAATTATATGTTGCCAGATTAATTAAGAATTTAAAGAAAAACCCCGCTGATCAAAGAAACTGGCTTCAATACCTAGATTACAATATAAAGGGACTATAAACAACGTACCCAATTAATGTTACTGCTTCGTTTTTTATGTTGTTATTATTACGACTTCAACTGCATACATGTATTGTATTGTATCCAACACAATGCTTGTTTCAAGAAAAAATTATGACAATATATCCGATTTATGGCCAATATAGATATCAACTTTTTCTTTATGTATA